GATTGCGAGACAAAGAAAACTTAATCGACTAAGAAGTATGGTTAGCTAGCTAAAAGCTCACAATCAAAAAATTTGATTGCGAGACAAAGAAAACTTAATCGACTAAAAAGTATTGTTAGCTAGCTAAAAGCTCACGATCAAAAAATTTGATTGTGAGACAAAGAAAACTTAATCGATTAAAAAGAATGGTTAACCAGCTAAAAGCTCACTATTTGAGAATTTGAATTTGAATATCTGAAGACAGACTAATGGCTAGAATAGACTCTAAACTGTTTCCAACGGTCTGAAGCTGTCACATCTATCAAAGTTGATTTTTCAAGTATAAAAGACATCTCCAATGACAAAGAAATGCATGAGATGCTTCCAAGAACAAAAAGAGTCCAAAAATAGCAAAACTTTTCTCAATCCTTCTTGCACTTCACTCAAATATTTATAATAGAGTTTAACACTTCATCTTATACCATTCAGATCAAGTTAAACATCATAGGTACTTCTCCATATCTGCAATCCTTGATTACTTAGAGGGTACGAGACACTCTAAAGGGATTAATCGAACTTGGTTTATCTTGGTTGTTATTGTAGGTTCTAACTTAACCTTAGAAAAGTTAGTTTTGAGTTTTGGTTGATCCCAGAAAAACTATTGTTAAAGGTTATTGCTGAGCTTATGAAAAACCATTGTAAAAGCTTGGTGGAAGTTCGGGAATTCCATCAATTCTAGTGATTTGGTTTGAAAATCCTTGATTGGAAGATCAAGGTAGTGGATGCAAGTCAAAGAGACTGAACCACTATAAATCTTTGTGCATTTTTTACCCTTTTTTATTTTTCATGTCATTCTTCTTTGAATTATTCTTTCATCTAGCATTCAACTTCTCATCATTAACCTTTAACTAACCTCTAATTATAAGTTAAGTTTAGTGACATTTAGAAAGTGCTATTCACCCTTCCTCTAGCACACATATTTGGAACCAATAGTAAAATTATCCATTCACTTCTAGTAGCAAAATTATCTATCCACTTCTAGTGACAAAATTATCCATTCACTTTTAGTGGTAAAGTTATCCTTAATTAAAATATTGATAGTGTAAATTATTATGATAACCTCGTCTATGTTCATGATCATAATTATTAAATGATGTGGTATTCACTTCAAGAAATAGATAGATTCATGACTATGACCATAATTATTAAATGATATCGCATTCATTTCAGAAAATGGATGAATTTATAATTTTTTTTATTAGTAGCTCGTTTGTCACATTCACTTCAAGGAATGGACATTCTGATTTTTCATTAATAACAAGTAACAAAATATAATATATACTACATAATAGCAAAATTCACATTAAGGTTGATTTTTAGGGAATGAAATACTAAAGAGATATTAAGTCACTTATTTGATTTTCTAAAATCAGAAATAAAAAAAAATAACCTTGTGAGAAGATGAAAACAAAATCCAAACTTGAGAGATTAGAAGATTGTATTGATAATGTGTTATAAAATAAATATTAAAAAAACAACTATAAAAGAAATATAAGAGAAAATATTTAGAAGGGGTAAGAATATCTTATTCAAATGTGTATTTACAAATGAACTGAATAGGTCTATTTACAAACAAATAACCCCTTATCTCGATAGAATTTATAAGATGAAGATTATACTATAGGATTAGATGAATAGATTAAATCTTAGTGTTGATCTAATCTAATTTACATCTAAAACTAGATATAGATAATATAAATGAATATTCACAAAAATATTCATAACAAATATTTATTAACAAGAAGTTAATTAAACTTAAAAAGTTATACCTAATTCTGATTTTGCTATAATCATGAATCAACGTAGACACATAACTCCATACATAAACACTACTAATACTAACAATTTGAACAAAAATTGATCTTGGCCAAGGAAATAGGAAGCCACTTTTTTTCACAAAAAGTAGACCTAATATATCACATGTCTGTTTTGCAAATGATCTCATGTTATTTGGAGTGGCAACTTCACAAAAAGTTAAAAGTGATGTTAAGGACTCTTGATAAATTTTGCCAAGCATCTGGTCAGAAGGTGAGCTTAGAAAAATCCTCCATGTTAGTTTCTGCTAATATTGACTCCACAAAGGCGAAAGCTTTAAGCTAGTTAGCTAAAGTTCCTTTAGTTAAGGATTTTGGGAAGTATTTATGGACTCCAATGATTCATGGAAGAGTGACAAAAGCCACTTATCAAGAGCTATGTAGTAAAATTAAAAATAGATTGGAGAGTTGGGGCAATAAACATTTGTCGATGGCGGGAAGGATTTCTTTAGTTCAATCCATCACTAGCTCAATGGCATCATATATAATGCAAACTACTCTCATCCCAGATAATGTAGCATTGGAAATTGATAAGCTTAATCGGGATTTTATTTGGGGTCACTTGGGTGGGGTGCAGAAGCTCCATGTGTCACAGGGCGATTCTTAAGACCACCTTCGTGCGGCCTTGGATTCAGCCCTTAGCTCGGCAGTAGAACCCAAGTCAGCCTTACTCACCCGACAAGCGCTCAACACCCGCACAATGGCTTTAAGCCAGCAAGCAAGCTTGCATAAACAAGGAAGGAAAAATGGGAAGAGAATGCTAGAGAAAAACTAAACTCTTTATATTGAATGAATTGAAATACAAAGGATGCAAGAATGGATGATTTACACAATGGTGGATGGGGCTATTTATAGCCAAGGTTCCCCACCCACTTTTCCCTCCAAAGTTTTTAATTCAAAGTATTCCCCCCAAAAGATTTCCCTCCAAAGTTTTCAATTCAAAGTATTCCCCCCAAAAGATTTCCCTCCAAAACATTTGGGAGGTTCTAGAAGTTCGGTTGGGAGGGAAAATTTGAATTTTCCAGCAACCCCCCTACATGGGTCTAGTGGGCTGGCACCCTCTTGGGCCTCTTGGCGGGTCCGGACTGTGTCACCTATTGGGCCTCCTGGTGGGTCTGGACTGTGGCCCGTGACACATGCACTCAGTTGGAAAACAATTTGTTTTTCAAACGAACTAGGTGGGCAAAAGATTAGGTAGACTAAGAAGTTTAATTTGGCTTTTCTAGCTAAATTAGGGTGGCAGTTATGGATGAATGAGGACTCCCTTTGGGTTGATATACTGAAAAGCAAATAGTTAAAAAACCAAGAATTGTTATCGGTTAAAGCTAAAACTACAGACTCCTATACTTGGCGAAGCATATTGAAGAGTAGAGAAATTTTGGTTAAAGGCTTGGGTGTGATCCCAAATAATGGACACTCCACTTTATTTTGGACGAATTCTTGGCTAGCTTGTGGACCTCTGTTGAATTTTGCCAATAGAGAAATTTCTATGGTGAAAGTTGCTCTACTTGTGGCAAGCTATTGTGACGAATATGGAAATTGGGACTTTCATTCACTAAAACATTTACTTCTTTCTCAAATAACAGGGATGATAGCAGCAATATTTGTTGATCCACGCAGTAGTGTAACTCATGAAGGGTATTGGACACCGACAAATAATGGAGTCTTTTCTGTAAAGTCAAGATATGACTGTCAAAGTGATGCTTCACTATTTGGAAGATTACAAGTCCTAGGAAAGTTAAAGTTTTTCTTTGGAGTGTCTTACATGAATCCTTACCAACAGTAGACTAATTGCTGAAAAGAAATGTGGTTTTTTCGATCTATGTTTTAGATGCGGTAATGTTACTAAAAATTTAATACATGCATTAAGAGACTGCAACTGCTTGAGAAATATGTGGCTTAATATGTGACCTAATTTAAGCTCAAATGGTTTCTTTAATATGGACTTACAACAATGGGTTCAAGAGAACATGTCTGTATCAAAGCTTTGTGATGCGGCTCGATGGGGAGTCATCTTCTCTCATGCAATATGGATGCTGTGGCATTGGAGAAATAAAAATATGTTTGATTGCGCTTTTCATTGGCCAGATAATGCAGCACAGAATATATGGTGCAAGGTGAAAGAAGCTTGGGATATTTTGGGGAAAACAGAGCATCGATCTAAAGTAGCAACTCCAACATTCTGGACAAGACCAAATCGCTCACATGCAATGCTTAATGCGGATGGCAGCTCAAAATGTATTTCTGGGAAATCCACTGCAGCGGGTTTGGTAAGAGATGATGAAGGGAATCGGCTTTTCGGTTTTGTTCATAACTTGTCGCAGAACTTTGGGCAAATTTTCAGGGCCTTAAATTATTTTGGGAGAGAGGTTTTGACAAGGTGCAAGTAGAAGCAGATTCAATGGTGGCTATTCAGAAGATCTCAAGCTTGAACTCTTCATTGGCTCCATGTCCAAATTTACTTGGAGATAGGTTTACATATTTTTAATGTTCCACCTCCAAATATGTCCTCTTTTTTATTAACAGATAAACTAGGCATATCATGGACTAGAAATATTTTGATTAATTGAATTTCCCTATTACAAAAGAAAAAAAAAAAGACCTTGGCCCTTATATATAATGAATCATCTCATGACAACTCGTTATCCGCTTCGTAATGTCATTAAAAAAATTATTCTTGAATATTTTATATGGCATATTAATTTTAAATTTTAGATTAAATCTGACTTAAAACAGTGGAAGAAAGATTGGCAGTATATATAAAAGGAAATTAATCGGGTCTGTAGCCAAAGGTTAATCGTCATTCTTCAAAATCAAAACCCGCTTTGGTTGGAGAAAACCACTAGCCTTTTGATGAAAGCAATATGGTGGTTTGATCCTAATAGTTGTTTATTTATACAAATTGGTTTTCTGTTGTATTTATTAATGCTTAGTACAACAAAAATATTGGTTTAGAAAAATGTCATCTAAAGAATTAAATAAGCTTTATCACTTTTTAGATGTAATTTTGTGGTCTAAGCTATCTTTGACTTGAGCCCAAAACCGTTATCGTCCCGAAATATACAGGCCAGGATCATAACATAGGATGAAACCACCAAACAAACCAAGCTCTTTGTCACATCATACCAGATCGTATCAAGCAAAACGTTGTCAATCTTTGGGCAGTACCCTTAGTCTTATATTGAAAAATAATTCACCCGCAACACAGTTTTTTATGTCAACAATCCTGAGATAGAAGAATCCATTACATCTCAAGTTCTTTCCGTGCCAAAAGCAAGTTATCCTACAGATAAACTAAAAGCAGTTAAACCATAAAAACCTTTTTCGTGTCATTATTAAGGTCTCCGGCAACCTATGCCTTGCTATCTATGCTCATCGGTTCAGGTTCCTTAGCTGCTGATTCCTGCCAAATCAGAGAACACAATATCAATACATCACTCCATGAATCACAAATGACAAGCCCCAACTGGTTCCTCAATCATAGCATAACTTGAACACTTACACTGGAATCAATAGACTCCATTTTTTTCATCTTGGCAAACATGTTCCCATAAAATTTGGATTCCTTCTTATTGTACTCCTTAATCTTCTCTTTCAAAACCTTGTATTCAAGCTTAACCTCCCTGGAAAGTAAATGCATCAATATAGAAGACGTTCATCAATCCCAAACACGCAAACACAATTTCTTTCTTAACAGCTGAGCCCAACAGCTAGAGTTCAAGAAGCCTATTAAGGCAAATTACCTATTATCAGGATCAAGCTCAAGAGCTTTCTTGATATCAAACTCTGCCAAATCCAAGTCTGCCAGATGGATGTATGCTTGAGCCCTTCTATACAGAGCTTTCACATTTGCACTTTCTAATTCTAAAACCTGCATTCGCATATCATGCACCAGTTTAACTCACAAATAGCTACAAGATCTAGCTGAAAATTATGATTCCAATTATGAACATTGTTCAAACCTTGGTGCACAGCTTCTCAGCTTGCTTGTAATCCTTCAACTTCAACTGGCAAGCAGCATTGTTCAGATTGCAGGCAACCTTCAATGCCTTAGCCTGCTTTTTCTCCTCTTCACTAAAGGAAGAATCATACTCAATACACTTAACAGCCTGCATATACAAACACCAATAAATTTCAAGGTATCAAAAGACAGAAATTAAAACTCTCACAAGGCAACACAAGCATAGCATATGCATACCTTCTCATATCTCTTAGAAGCTCTCACATATTTGCCAGCTTTGAACAATACATTTCCTTCTTCCTTCTTTTTACCAGCAGCTTCAATCTTTTCTTGGGTGTTCATATCCCATGATTCTTTTCCCTGAAGTAGTAAATCATCAAACCACTTGTAACATAGTGCCCATATTGACATCTGACAGATATACAACAATGGACATAGACATTACAAGAGTACAGATCCACTAACCTTGACAAATGATACCAACTCAACTTCATAGTACACAGTTGAGTTAGGAGGCACCAAACCCAAATCCTGCTGTGACTCAGATGACCCAAAAGCATACTCAGGTGCAATAGTCAGCTGAGCTACTTCACCCTTCTTCATCGTCATCACAGTTCTATCAAGACCGTCAATGACTTGCTCTGTCACAAAAATCAAGCAGTGGCAGTTCAGCTAAACCCATAAACTGGCGTCAAGAGAGTGGTGGGAGGAAGGGCAACTTCTGTTACCTTCATCTGTCTTGAACTCAAACAACTCTTCTCCTTCATTGTGACCCTTCTTCAGGAAGACAGTACCATCTTGCAGTTTCCCAATCAATTTCACTGCCAAAGGTACATAAAAAGTTAGATATTAAATAAAAAATTGTTTAGTATATTGCATTAGGGAAAACTGATAATTCTTTTCTCAGAATTTAACACCAACCTTGGACAACAGCCCCCTCATTTGGACGTTCATATCCCTCCCCTTCCTTCAAGATCTTCTTTATAACCTTCTTGTCATCAGTAACCTCAGTCACAGTTTTCCATGAAACCAACTCCAAGGTAATCTGCACACTGGCATTTGGAGGCACTGCACCTTCAGCACCAGTGGCTGGCTTCCCCTTCTCACCAAAGCCATCTTTAAAATAATAAAATAGGGTTAAAACATCATAACAAGTACCAAGCACATTTACTTTCATGCTAAGACAATAAAATGAAAATAACTTACATTGTGGCTTCACTGTAAGGAGTACCTTCTCTCCCTTCTTCATTGTCTTAACAGCTCTTGCCAATGCAGGACAGAAATGACCTGTTCATAGAGGAAGAAGCAACCATTGGTATTTAGGACTAAAGTGACAAATTAAGAGGGAAATAGAATGAAGAGAAAGGGCATAGATAATACAAACCCTCCTTAACAGTGAACTCTACACCATCAGCTTTTGCAACCACCGTGCCATCCTCAAGCTTAGCTTCATAGTTAACTGCATTCAAGATACAAACCCATTATTAAAACCTAGCTCATACAAAAAGTAACCCATATTGCTCATTCAAACAGTAACTCGAATTGATTTAATGTTCATATTATTATAAATATTAAATAACAAAACAGATTCTTATATGTACCCAGCACTTCGTCGGGGTCCTTTGGATTCTCCCATTTGTCCCCTTCAGTAAGTATCTTCTTAAATATCCCACCATCTTTGCAAATGTCCCTGACACTTGTCCAAGATAGCAATTCAACATCGAATTGGAGTGTTGCATTAGGAGGAATGGTTGGTGGTGAGCCAGACGCACCATATGCCAGCTCAGGAGGAATGGTAAAAATAGCATTTTCTCCTTTCTTCATTGTCTTAATACCTTGGTCCCATCCTTTAATAACTTGTCCTACAAACATAAAGAGAAACCAGAAATATGATATTTAGCATAATGCCAGTTCACCAGAGTTTTCTCCTCTTCAACAAGAAGATTCCTACACCTTTGCGTGGTAGAAAGGAAAAAGCAGGAGGATGCAAAGGGGTCAATGGAAAAGTAAAAGAAAATTATTTTCACCAGTACTTAGTAAGAGAGAAAAGTGAGAGGTAAGAAATAAGAGAGATGGCAGTTTTCCATCCTTATCCACAAAAACAAATCATTCCAACTTTAGAAGATTAGAAAAGAGAAAACTAAGTGGTGTGAGTAAATTACTGCACATTTACAAGATCATCCATCTTTTCTTAATTTTTATCTTTTAATCTCCACATACAATAGGGTATTATACTAAAATACTATAATGGTCATTTTCTTTCTCTTTCCTAAAAAGCACAACAATGGAAAGAAAAAACATATATGTATTTTTTCTCTTTCCACTTTTCTCCTCTCCCAATTTTTCATCTTTCCATTTTTCTATCCTCCCTACCACGCAAAGCCTAAAGGCCCAATACCAAGCAGGAACTTAACAACAAAAGATTCAAGTGGCACATTGTTGCTTGTCTTCATGCTACGGACTTACAAAGGTCTTGCCCCTTAGTCAAGCATACTACTATTATCAAAAGAGAAAGACTTATGGAGTAAACCAAATTGATCACCACGAAAAGCAGCCTACCAGCACTTTTTAATAGCTAAATCAAACATATCACAAAGCTTCAGAGTAATGCCTCTAAGGCATTCCAAATGTAACAAGTTTCAAAAAAAAAAAGAAGATGAATTCACATTCAGAAATTCAGCCAGCACAAACAGAAAAGAGCTTTTCTCAAAAACCCCCCATGGTTTTAATATAAATTCCAAAATTTTAAATGCATTTCCAGGAATAGAATCAAAAAGAAGTAAATTTAACGATATTAATACACGATTACTTTGGACTCATGTCTATTAATAGTATAAAACACTTAGAATCAAAATTAATGCTTTCCAGATTAAGGTCCAACTTTACATTCTCCTTTCAATGTACAATTAAAACAATTGTCTTTCAAATTTTTCCACCCGAAGAAGGGACGATCTTCATTTACCTTGACCAAGAGTGAACTTGAAAGGAGTCCCCCTATCACGGCTTGAATCGAACTGAGTTCCATCCAGCAACGTCCCCGTATAATGAACTGCATCAATAACAATCAATCAGAGTCCAAAACATTTTCAAAATAGAAGTTTGTTTTTTCCGTGGTTTGTTTGTAGTGTTTGTTCTTTATACCTTCAACTTCGTCACCGTTTTCAGGAGTTTCCCAACCTTCACCTTTCTTAACAAGCTTCTTCTTCAAGCCCTGCTTTCCGATCTCCTTTTCTTCTCCGACTTTCAAAATGGGACTCTCGTCGGGAACATCCATGTCCTCGTTCATCATATCCTCCGCCACCGGGATATCAAAATCCTCATCCATTTTCAATCTAAGAATCTACAGAGAGCGAGTTAATGCGTGATCGCGTGAGAAAGCAGAAACTAACGCTAATGACAGAGGGGCTTTGAGAGGCGAAGACGGTAGGGCTCGAAAGAAAGGGCTTTTATGGAAGAGAGTGAAGGAGACTGTGGGTTCTAGAGGCTTCCAAAAAGGGTTTAGGGAGAAAGAGACCAAATGATCCGATTTGATTTGATCGTTTTTGAAGGGTCAGGATTCTTCCAGAATTTCCTCTTTTTTATATTCAAAAATATTTATTTTCTTTTAATTTGGCTTTTCACTTTTAAGCATTTCCTGGGTTAACTGACAGCTAATCGGACGGCTCAGGCTTCAGAGATACGTTCGTTTCTTCAAAAGGACGACAAGGTATCATTGCTACTATTCCTTGTCCTAACCCTTTTAAGGATTATTACTATTTTTCATTTTTAAAACAATTTCTTTTATTTTATGTATATTTTTAAAAATACGAGAATGTACGGCTTATCAAGTCAAATACTTAGATTCGACCAAAAAGTCACATTATTTCATAAATTTTATCTTTTTTTATTGAAAAGTATCAAAATTTTAATAATTGAAATTAATTAGGAAGCTTCTGGATCAGTTACCATTAAACTAATTTTCCTAGTTTCTAGACAAATGGATCAAACTTTTCATGCTATTAATAAATTAAATTTGCAAGAGCTAACTTGGGTATATGTAAACATATACGTTATGGTTGTAATCTGGATTACTTAAGTATTTAAAAGTTAGAATTATCAAATTTTGGGTAAACACAAACATATTTTATTCACACATTGTTGCGAGTCCTCATCTAACAGATTATATTAATGTTAAAATTATATATTAAAAAATTATCAATCAACAAATATATATTCTCCATTACCTTCTTTTACCCCAAAAAAAAAAAAACCTATGAAAGAATGAGAGAAAAGGTTTACCGTGAGCTATTAGAAAGTTAAGTGTCAAACATTAAATGATGGATTAATTGATAAACCATGTCACATTATTTGGTTTAAAAACGGTAGAGCAAATAGTGATTTTTTTCTTTTGGAATAAGAGCAAATAGTGATTTTGAATCAACATGTTTTGTTGTTTTACTTCAAAGATTTAAATTTATTATACTGAGAAAACAATTAAGTAGAGTTTGAAGATTAAGGTCAAAAAAAATTATTTATATTTTTATTGATGAAAATATGAATATTTATTCATTATTTTTAAATTATCATTCTAAATACTTTTTCACTATGAATATTAAATTATTAATAAGATTTATCTCATTTGTATATAGATAAAAAATTCCAATTGCATCGAATTACTCTTATTAAAAGAATTTTTATTATAAAATATTAATAAGATTTATTCAATATCTAAATGAGATTTCTAATTCCAACGAATGAGTTTTTTCAAATTTCTTGATTCTAATAATATTAAATAATTTATAAAATAATATTAGTACCAAATTTCAATTATATATACTTAAAACATTGTCTTTCAATTATAATTATTTTTTAAGTTATAGGTAATAACTTTACATTTTAAAAATATTTATATTTTATTATAATTATTATTTAAAAATAAATAAATAATAACACCTGAGCATTTGACTCTGTATGATCTCTTATTTAAAGAATAACATTTAAATCTTTCTTCCTATATCTAAAATAAATAAATAAATAATAAATATTCAAGTGTAATGCACGAGATAATAAACACTAGGGAATTAAAAAGTAATAAGAATTTAAGATACTCAAAATGTTTACGTAAAAGAAATTATTCAAACTAAAGTATTATAAAAGTAAAAAGAGCCAGAGAAAAACAAAGTCAAGTTTGAGTATGAAAATTGAATTGGTGAACCATCTTTTGGTTAATTGATAAAAGAATAATATAACAATTAATATTTTTCAATCAAAATTTACTAACGTTTTTTTTTGTCAAATTAAATGATTGTGTTGAGACATGGCATTGATGTGAAAGTCTATTACTAGTATTATAAAAAAGAAAATGATGATAAAAGAAGTTGTGCATTTGAAGAAAATTTTTTAAATTAAAAATAAGTGATGAGAGATTGTTTAACATATAATGAGGTTTGGTGAAGAAAAAAAAAGGTGGAAGTTAAATAACTATAACAATACAAAATAAATTCAAAAACCTAAAAAAGAAAAAAGAAAATAAGGCCCGAAAATCATTAACATCGTTGTTGAAGGAGGTGTTTGTGTGAAAGAGATTCTGTTTCATTAATAGAGTCAAGAATTTAGTTTTAATATTATTAAATAAATTAAATGGAAGATATTATTTGCATCACACTTTTGTGGTACCGTGAATTGGTTGTAAATTTGGTATTTTATGAATGGATAAGTCTAATTCATATGCTCCAGCCCTTGGTTATACCAAAGAGTTCTACAGTAGTTCTAGTTTAATTCTAACCTGCATTTACTGGTGTCCCATTAGTCTGGTTTCGATACACGACAGTTGGAGCAGTATTAATACGTACTCTGGCGCCCTGTGCTCGCTCACCATAATTTGGTTAAACACGCCACTTCTGTTTTGGTTCTGTCCCCCCATGCCATAGTTCAGTTGGGCACCTATGTTTTGATTTGTTTGACTAATTGAACACCTTAACCTTGAGCTTGGGTACATGCCAAAGTATTGCTTGAGTCAAAACCTCTGATCGTCCCTCTTCTTGTTTGACTTAATAAGTTGAACGTATGGTTAAGTTCAACCAGTCGAGTACTTATCAAGTGAGTCACACACCACACACCATATATAGGTATAACATTCATGTTTTTTTCTTTTTAAACTTTGACATGAAATTGGAACCTACTTTTCATAGTTTGTCGTCCATGACAACTAAGCCAAAACGGAATTTAAGTTCTTTCAAGTATCTAGACATTCTTCTGAATTGATTTCAAGTTTTAACCTTAAGCAGAAGAGTTTTGAGTTTCAACTTTTTGCAGTCGTATATAATCTGTAGTTGAAATCAAATGCGAATTTCTTCACTATGTAGACTCACATCACACCTAAGAGTTACCGGTTGAAGCTGCCATCTAATGACCTAGTACCACACACTTGCACGTCTGTGCTTTGTACCAATTAGACCTGTCAATATGGGCTGGCCCGACCCAGCCCGACCCTAGTCTTTGTGGGTTGAAAAAATATGGATTAGGCCGGACCAGCCCATATTTTATATGGGTTACAAAATCCTCAACCTAACCCACCCCTTGCTAGCTCATGGGTTGAGCCAGGTTAGCCCATTTTTTTCAAAAAAAATTTATTTTAGTGAAATAAATACAACTATACTATGATTTAGTCCATAGATTAAATAATAAAAACATATAAAAAACAAATAAATTACACCAAATATAAATAAGCAAATACATTACATCAAACATAAATAAAATTTTAAATTTTCAATCTTTAACACAATTACACAAACTACAATCTCATCAACATAACTACATAAATATATAATCAAATATTCATAAACTTCAAGACTATTAATGTTTTTCTCAATCTTCTCCTCAATCAAACATTTGAGTCTTCTTTGACAACAATGATGTCTCTAAGTCCTCATCATTATCATCTAATATTCATTGTCATAAAAGAAAAAAGATATAATGAGTTTGAATTTTAACTAAAATTATTAATTTAATAAAAAAAATTAAAGATATTGAAATATATAAAATAAACAATACCATCGGCAGCTAAAGAAAAGCCATGCAACCAATATTTCGTGCAGACAAGCATTTGAACATTTTCATGAAGGAGGAAACTTCTAAACTTAGTGAGAACATGACCACTGATACTAAAAGCAGACTATGATGCTACTGTAGTAATCGGAATGCTCAATACATCTCGTGCCATAACAGAAAGATCAGGAAAGCGCTTAGCATTGTCCCTCCAATAATTAAGTACATCCAAGTCTTCAAACACTTCATAATCAAGCTTTGCCTCATCTAAATAAACATCCAACTCAGACTTTCCAACAATAGAAATTGTTTCATTTTGAAACAATTTGAACTCTTACAATTTTTAAATACATAGACAAAAAAAATTATCAAAACATAAATAAAGTAACATAAATTCTCATGTAATAAGTTAAGGAAAGATACAAAACTTCACTAAAGATCTTTGATCCCTTGGGTTTAGTTCCCCTTTCGACTTGCTTAGGCAAATTACTCATTGAGTGAGATGATATACTTGATGCACAAGTGTTGCTTGCATATTGTTCAAAAAACTCGTACAACTTTATCTTCACATTTTTTAACTTTTCATGACAAGTAGAAGCATCAATCTTAGAATAGCAAAATTTTAAGAAATCAAGCTTCACCCTTGGGTCAAGAATAACTCCAAATGCAAGCACTACACTATAATCTTTCAATATTTGTCAAATTTCATTTTCATCCTTTGAGACATATCCTTGATAACCTCGTCTTCATTATGCAAATTCTTATTTAAAATCGATTCAATTTTTCAAACTTGCATGAAATATAAGTTGGAAGTTGGATAAGATGAACTAGATATCAAGTTTGTAGTCTCATAAAAGGGCTCCAAGAATTCACAAATTATCATTGCTCTCCCCCATTCCTCATTAGATGGATTATATTTATAAGTTCTATCAATAAATTGGAGGCTAGCAAAAGCTTTTTGATATTTGATTGCACTTTCAAGCATCAAATATGTTGAATTCCATCTAATTGACACGTCTAAACGCAACCCAACACCTGCATTAATACCAACGTGTTGAACACATTCTTGAAACTTTTTCATCCTCTCATCCGATGCCTTTACATATTTCACACTCTTCTTAATTTTAAACAATGCTTCATTCACTACTTTCAAGCCCTCTTGAACAATAAGATTTAATATATAAGCACAACAACACACATGAAAAAATTCACCATCACAAATCAAGCTACTTTGCAAATGAAGATGGCCTTTCAAGATAGTTTACATGTTATCATTAGCAGAAGCATTATCTAGAGTAAGAGAGAAAACTTTTCTATCTATTCCCCATTCTTTCAAACAATCAAATACAGTAGTAGCTAATTCAACTCCAGTGTGTAGAGGAGGCATACGACAAAAGTTAAGTAACTTGCTATATAACTTCCAATTTTCATTGACAAAGTGAGCAGTCAAACAAATATAACCCTCAGA